TTATACACATATGAATGTCTATGAATTTATTTTTCTAGTCAGCCCAAATTAACACACTCATCAAAGGAATGTTAGAAAAAGTATTTAATATCACCTCATCGGATGATAGAAATATTATAGAAAAAAAATCATACAAATAAATTTGCTAACGTAAATTCAATGGACAATTTCTTTAACAGATTCAGATTACCAAAACAGACATAGGAAAATATAGAACATCTCATTAACATCATAGGCATTTAAGAAGTTGAATTCACAATTTAAATTTTCCACAAAAAATGAATTAAATTATATTGAAATTATGTTATTTGTTTTCTTGTTTCTTGGTAAATGAAACCCAGGGTAGTTGAGCCTAAAGGGAAAGCAATAGAACAAGGGTTTTTCAGGGATGGGGGATGAAGAGGGGCTGTGGGAGATAAAAAGAGAGATGATGTCAAGGAGCAAAGGAAGGAAAAGTATGTTTAGAGACTGTTTATGGAAACAATTGTACAATTCTGTTTGATGTGATTGAACTATGGAATGATATGACATATGCATGAACTTCCAGGCTACAGCAAATTTAAAGAAAAAGGAAAAAAGCATAGATCCAGGAATGGGTTTGGGGCTCACACTAAATCCTAGCTCCAATTTAAAAAGCTGTGAGTACTATAGCAAAATGTGGTGAAGAATTTAGATGGTGTCCCACTATCAGATAAAATAGCATCTGAGGCCTTAAAATTTGTCTCCAAACAAGCAGCCATCTACGTGGGATGTCTACTAAATCCACATGGATGAAGCACACCATCATCAGTCACCAAAGGATTGTAATCCATATGATCTGAAAACGAGGGAGCTGAAATTTGAAACTATCTGGTGCACAGAAAGCAATGGATGACAGTGGAAGCCCACTATTCATTCGTGGAACTTCATCGGGAATAAACCTCTGGAGAACTCCTCCTATCTATAATTGAGGAATGGGAAGAAAGTGGTCACTAAACAAGAGTGTTTGGGAGAGAGGACTTTAGAAGGTCAAAGGTATAAATCTGATTTGAACAGTTAATACTTTGTCAGTAGATCCTCTCTATTGTACTGGCTAGAACTGATCTGGTTTCAAAAATTTTCTGTATTTTTGGTTTGCATTATTTTGTTGTTGTTCACATTTGAGTGTACCTCAGAGGTGTTATGTCATTGGAGGTCACCCTCTTGAAGATGTGTTATATGCTTTTCTGTTTTTCAGTATATGAAACCCAGGATTGATGAACCTATAGGGGTAGCAAGTAGAATAAGGGTTTGAGGGGAGCGGGGTTTGGTGGTAGGGGTAAAAGGGAGATGATGTCAAGGAGACCATGTAGGAAAAGAGAGTTTTGAACCTGATTGTAGTAGCAATTGTCCAATTCTACTCAACGTGATTGAACTATGGAATGATATGATAAATGTACTAAATCCCAACTTAAAAAAATAAAATAAAACAAAATCATAGCACACAATAATTTCACTGGTGAATTCTAACAATTTCCTGCTTAAGAAAGAAATAGTACTCATGCTACTCAACTACTTTCAAAAGCAGATAAATAAAAAATACCAAATTCTCCTATGAGACTAGTAGCATTCTAATAGTAAATCCTGACAAAAGAATTGCCCGCAAAAAAAATGTGGATAAATCTCCTTCCTAAGTATAGATGAAAAATTACCAAAAATATCAAAACACACCTCCTACATCAAAGATAAAAATGATGCTATAAACATCACTAATTTGATTTAATCTCAAGGATGCAGGACAGGTTTGATATATTTTACCACATTGGAAGAATAAAAGAAAATAAATGCAGAGAAATTATATTAAGTGCAGGAAATGGGTTTAACAAATGTCAACATCCACTCATGATTAAAATGAACAAAAAAAGAAAGAAAAATGGGAGAATATGATCAATTTAATACAGGATACAATGAATAATATAGAGTTAATTTAATAATATTTGGTTATGTATGAAATAGGTTTCCTATAAATTGAAAACCAAGACATGGGTATCTGTTCTTTGTACTTCAATTCAAAACTCAACTATCAGGCTAGGCCAGTGCAAATAGAGAAGCAAAAAGAAAATTATACAGAACCATAAACAACAAAAAATGATGTAGGGGCTTATCCCTCTTTCTCTCTTTTTTAGGAACAAGATGGAATAAGAAATATATAATAGTAAAATATATTACAATCAATAAGAAAAATCAGTGAAGTTGCAGGATAATAGGCCAATATTCAAAGTCCATATTAGAAACTCAATTTTCCTAGCAACAAATAGATATGGGATAAATATTAACATAAATGGTCTCATGGCGGTAGAATCCCCATGTGGTTTGGTGTCTAAGACCCAGTACACTTCTCTAATTGGAAGTTATGATATATTCTATATACTATTAATAAAGTCTCATTTTTGCCTACATAGTTCAAGGGATTTTTGTTAGCTGAAATATGTAAGAAAGAGTACATAGAGACATATACAGAGACCTTACATATTATTTTACATTCAAGTTAGTATAGATAGCTATATGTATATATTGCATTTCATATCCTTCTATTCTATACTGATGGAATGATAGGCTTTGTCTTCTAAGAATGAAAGAAATAGCATTTGGGGTAGTAAGAAGTTATTAGAATCCCTGGTGACATGGTCGTCAAAATAAAAGCTATTCTTTAGAAGAAAAATATGACAGTTTGATTCCATAAAGAATAAACTCATAGAAACCCTATGGAACAATTCTATGGGAGTAGATGTATCAACTTGATTGTAAGGAGTAAGAAGATATTCAGTGTGTGGAGAGCAGAACCTTTTATTTGCACTTTAAATTATAATCTTGAGCAATAATCATGAAAGCCAACCTAATTTATTTATTGGTGTTTCAAAAGGCAAGAGCAGTTTCCTTTTCTCTCTGAGAACATATCCTCATGTCTGTGGTGCATAAAAGTTTACCCTATCTCCCTAAATCTATGCTCAGGAAAGAGAATTAATATTACTTAATTAAGCATATCAAATAGAAAATAAATATTCAAATGAAGAGAGGGCCTCCATTTGATGTGCCTCATTGCTTCCTCAGATCTCCTCTTTTCCCACACGTTGAATACTTCCTCTCATATCACATTCTTCTAAAAATCCCAAGTACAAGTGAAAGAAGTCCTTTTCCTTTAGGCTGGAGGTGTAGAGGGATGAAGTTGGTGCCTGTAGCTCAGAGGTTTGGATCTATAAATTCTAGTCTAGAAACAGATTTCTGTCTTCTCTTCTCTTTATTGGCCACCTACCCAATACATAGCCACATTGGTAAGAAGCAATCAACTGCTATCATGACTCTGCGGTTATATTTTAATACAGATCTCCAGAATACAGTATCTCAGAAGGATGTGTTTCTTTAAGTCTTCTTCAACAGAACAATGCGATACTGTTGGTTGCCAGTAACTGAGCTGAGAGCATATTTCTTGTATTATTCTAGGTACTTTAGAGAAACAAATCCACAGCAACTCATGTATAAGAGAGTTTTATGTAAAGAAAGTGTGCATCGCGAAAACATCCCAACCCAATGCTGCCCAAGCCCACAAGTCCAATATTAACCCATTAACCCAACACCAGTTCACAAAGTCCTCCACCTCACAAAACAGAGGCAATGATGCCGACTGCAGGAGGAAAGCTGAGTCAGTGAACGAATAAACATCTCAGCACTAGCAGGGGTCTCCACATGGCTGTTCCAGCATCCAGGGCTGCATCTGGATAGGTCCATGTGGCTTCTCCTTGGGGATGCCTTGTAGGAAGTCAATCTTGCAAGCTGAAGCAGGGAACTGCTAAGGCAGCTGCACCCTGGTGCGACCATCACAAAACAAGAGACCTGAGAACTAGAAAGGCGAGGCTCACCACCCATTTATCCCTCTGCCTTTCAATTAGCCCCACATGTGATTATCGGCCAGGTTGGCACAATTAATTAACTCATTTCTCCTACTTTTTTTATTATTAATCATTTTATTGGGGCTCATACAATTCATCACAATCCATACATACGTCAATTGTATAAAGCACACTTATACATTTGTTGCCCTCATCATTCTCAAAATTCGCTTTCCGCTTGGGTTCCTGGAATTAGCTTAATTTGCTTTTTCCCCTCCTCCTCCCTCCCAGCTCCCCCCTCCCTCGTGGACCCTTAATAATTTATAAATTGTTATTATACCTTATCTTACACTGCCCTGCGTCTCCCTTCACCCACCCCTCTGTTGCCCATCCCCCAGAGAGGAGGTTATATGTAGATCCTTGTGATAGATTCCCCCTTTCTATACCCCACTTCCCTCCTGGTATCGCCACTCTCACCGCTGGTCCTGAGGGGTTCATCTGTCCTAGATTCCCTGTGTTTCCACTTCCCATCTGTACCACTGTGCATCCTCTGGTCTAACCAGGTCTGCAAGGCAGAATTGGGGTCCTGGTAGTTGGGGGGAGGAAGCGTTCAAGAACTAGAGGAAGGTTGTGAGTTTCATTATTGCTATACTGTACCCTAAGTGACTCATCTCCTCCCCACTACCCCTCTGCAAGGTATGTCCAATGGTCCACAGATGGGCATTGGGTCCCCATCACGCGCTACCCTTTTATTTGTAAATAATCAAAGCACATTAAATCTTAGGACATTACAAGTGGGGAAATGTGCCTTATAGTGGTGCATTTCAAACATCAGTGTACTTACATATTGACTAGGAATTGGGATAAAATGAAGAGTACTATTAAGTCGAAATGAGTAGCAGTATATAGTTGTAAATCGTTTTGCATTTTCTTTTCTTTTTTTTTCCGTTTTGCATTTTCAATAAGCTCCAAGGTAATCGTGATGGTGCTGAGCCATGGAGCATCATGGAGGAAGATAGAGTATTACATAGAATAATAAATGCTTCCACTTTCCCCCGAGGTGTAAGTCTTCAAGGTGAGATACATGCTACATATTCATAGAGAATACTAAAGTTCATCCTCATCATATAAACACATTGAGCCAAACTTTTAGAGTCATGGTTTATTGGGCAATGAAGGCATTCCCATCTTAGGGACTGTATTTCGTCTGAGGACATTCTTCAAGGCTTGTTTTACATCTTTGTTTCGAAGACTATAAATCATTGGATTAAGGACTGGACTTACAAAGGTGTAGAAAACAGCTATTATTTTCGATTCCTCAATGGTCTTATCTGTTGGTGGTCTTACATACATGCAGAAGAGAGTCCCATAAAATAGGGTGACAGCCATCATATGGGAGCCACAGGTGGAGAATGCCTTGTGTCTGCCCTCTGCTGACTTGATCCGGAGGATGGCAGCAATAATGAAGGCATAGGACACCAGGATGATGGTGAGGGAGGTGGAGAGGTTGAAGCTAGCTGAGATCAGCATGGCATGTTCTTTGATGTAAGTATCAGAGCAAGAGAGCTTTATGAGTGGTGGGTCAGCACAGTAGAAATGGTTAATGATATTGGACCTACAGAAGGTCAAGCGAAAGGTTAGGATGGCTTGTAACAGACCATCTGAGAAGCCATAGACATAAGGGAATGTGGCCAAGCAGATGCAGACTTTCCTGGACATTTTCACAGTATAGTGCAGAGGGTTGCAGATGGCCATGTAGCGGTCATAGGCCATTGCTGCCAGGATGTAAAATTCAGTGAGGAGAAGAGCAATGAAAATGTAACACTGTGTGAAGCAGCCAGCAAAGGAAATGGTCTTCTTCTCTGATAAGAAATTAGTGAGCATCTGTGGGGTCGCATTTGTGGTGTAGCACAAATCCACAAAGGCCAAGTTAGTGAGGAAGAAGTACATGGGGGTGTGAAGGCGAGAGTCTAGTCTGATTAACGTGATCATGCCCAGGTTGCCTATGAGGGTGACAAGATAAACCACCAGGAACAGCACAAAGAGGAGAGGCTGGAGTTCTGGGCGATCTGTGAGTCCCTGGAGAATGAATTCTGTGACCACACTGCCATTCTTAATGGGCATTTCCAGAGTATGTGACTGCTCCTTAAAAAAAGAAAATTCATGAAAGGATAGATTTGTGAATGAGAAATAATTTATCTCTCTCTCTATATATATATATATATCCATACAATTTCAAAATATTTTTCATTATTATTATACTATAAAATAATTTGTTACCCATATGAAGTCATTATTTAATTTTACTTTAAAGTAGGATAGTGGTAACTTATTGGTTGAGCTTTGAATTACTCACTTCAAGGTCACCTATTCAAATATACCATATGATTATTGAAATGCACCAGCTATTCTGAGGAAGAAAGATAAAGTTATTTACTCCAGTATATATTTATATCCTCATAACCCCATATGAAAAATAATCTACTTGTTGGCAGTGGGTTTTTATATTAATGTTCTGTTATCTTTCTATTCCTATGCCTATATATCTACTTCCACTTATATCTTCATAGAAATTGAGTTACATATGTCCTTTCTTCCTGCATTATTTGTTGCTTTACACACTGCATACTTTATTCTTCCTACAAAATCACCATGGAAAATTCTTACCTTTGTGGAGTACACCTCACTCTACTCCCTCATACTTCAAAAGGAATTAATGACTTTCTGTTCTGTGTTTTCAGAACATCTCTCTACCTCTAATTTATTCATAGGCATATTGCAGGCTAGTAGTATATTTCCTTTCCCATCAAGGCATTGTACCTATTCAAGGTAAAAGATAGTATGTAGCTTGTTTTTGTTATGATTCATCACTTCATATTTATATATTCTTTTAAAAAGAAACAATGGATGGATGACTGAATGAGTCTATATATATTTTCTCATATGTTTCTCATGTATATTTCCTCAGAGAATTCGATGGCACATACTTAGGAGGGTGGTGGTTATTTCGCCTTTAAGGTGCAAAGCTGCCAAACGGGAATATTGGTAATCAAGCAAATTAGCAGTTCACTAGAACCGCTTGCTTCGGAAAGTGAAGAGAAGAGCAATGAAACATGGGATTCTTTATATCCATCACTCAGAGGACTCTACTATGGAAGCCAGCTGGTGTTCCAGGACCACATCCAGAAAACAGAGCCAATAAACAGTGGTCCAATAAACCTATATTAAATGAGTTAACGAAATATCTTCACATCAAATGGATTCTCCTCACCCACTTGAACGAGGCTCCAGCATTGGGGAAATCATTTTAAAGAAAGAAATTAAGCTTTTGCTTCTCCAAAAATTCACTGTCATCAAGGCAATTCTGACTCATGATGACCTTAGAGAACAGGCTAGAACTTCTCCTGTGTTTTCCCCAGACTGTAACTCTATAGGGAAGTAGGAAGCCTCCTCTTTCAACTGTGGAGCAGCTGATGGTTTTAATGTGCTCACACACATAACCACTACACCACCAAGACTTCACGTTTCGAGTACTTGGCATTGATGCTATTACTTCTGTCTCTTTATATCTCTTCTTCTTCACACCTGTTCCGCTTTCTTTCAATATATGTACTGTCCTTTCCATTATGCCCTACATCATTTAATCCCCTACTTGCCAAACTTTCATCTTATTTTATAGCTCTCATTTAAAATCAAGTATTTTTGTACCAGTATTTCCATCACGAAGAACAATAAACAATCAATAAGTATTTGCTGAATAAATTTGCAATTTTGGATACTAACATGTTTAGATCACTAACCACATACATGATTATGCTTCTAAGACTTTTGCATGTAATAATAGACTTAATCTTTCAAGAATCTTTGTGCAGATGTTATTCTGTGCTTGTTACAGTCAAGTACAGACAGATGAAATAATTGGATCAAGCTCATACTGCCAGTGAGTACAGAATTCAAAGTCATCTGACTTGAAAATCTCCTTTGTAAGTTACTGTATTGTCTCCCTGAGCCTGAATTATTCCACATATAGAGCCTGCAGGTTTTACAGATTAAGATGATGAAGAATAGAGGGTTGCAAGGACGACCATGACATCTTTACAGAGGATAATATGAAGCAGATGTGTATCACTCCCCTTCTCTTTATTCATGGGTATTTTCTGCTCTGCTATTGATTCACGGCCTGTGATCTCCTGTATAGTAATGCTTTCTACCATAACCATACTAGAATCACTGACAAAGTTTGGGATTGGGAGTAAGTTGGGAACCAACGCATTCAGATATTGTTAGTTCAATTTAGTGGCCTTATGATTATGAAAAAGTAACTATTTTCTTCCATTTATATGGAGGTATAATGATAGCCTTCCTAAATTTTGTAAGTTATTATGGGCTTCAAACCAGATATTATTAAGTATTTATTGGTTTTTCATGATGTTGTACATTTTGCAATAGACTTTGTAGTTATTGAAGTGAAAAAAATCCATAAAGCTTTGTTGTTTCTGGATATTTCATCCAATAAGCAAGCAAGTAAGTAATTAGGTGAGCAAATGGTGCTTCAACGATAGCACATCCTATGGAGAAAAAATAAAACAGAGTGTGGGTGTGAGACGGTATTGAAATTTCATTTGGAGCATCACCAAGATCCTCACTAAAAAAGTGACTTTTAAAAGCAACAAATCACAGTTCCAAGAAAATGAGTAATAAGACTATCTCGAGACAAATATTCTGGAGGAATACATAACAGGTGCAAGGACATCATGTATGCTCATCCTTTGGAATCTGATAGTGATGTGTGTTTGTGTATGTGCAGGAGTGTGTGTGTGTGCATCCTCGGAGATCTGTGCTCAGAGAATTACCTCAAACAAACACAAGTTCTAGATGGAAGTAAGAACTATGCCCAGCTGTGTCAGCAGCTAACACTCTGGATGAACTTGAGTAACATTTACTTAGCAATTGTCACATATATGAATCTACTTTTATTATGCTAAGCATCTCCAAATCTAAAATCCAGAATGTTGACAAAGTCAGTACTTCAGTATTTGGGAAGTCAAACTTTTAAGAATGAAATTTCAATCCATGACTAATTCTACTTCTACCAGTTTTGAACTATATGTTATTGGCAAGGAACTTAACCTGTCTTGCTGCTGTATTCTCAGCTCTAAAATAATGGAAATTGTTTTTTAAATGAGTAATAAAGTAAGCCGTATAACTGAAGCATTACATACAGTAAGAAAATATTGAGTGCTATTAGAGATAGACTTAATTAACACTTTCACAAATGGCTTTGTCTACTACCTCGAGTTCTTTGCTAACAAACACTGAGAGAAACACATGTTCTTTTTCAGAGAGAAAAAAAATCATTATTCTGTTTCCCACTGACTTGCAGAATCCAAGAAAACTTGATTTTTAAGGATGAAAACGCATAGGATTTTGCAGGCCTTGGAGTGCCTTTACCACAGTTGCCTTTTGACTAAAATATAAAAGAAATAAAGACCCAAAGACTTACTTCTGGTTCTTATAGACACTGAATTTCTCAGCCTCTCATTAAGGAACCTTCTTGATGCCTATCTCTGGTGCAAAATGAAATTATATTTATAGTTGGATGAAGGAGGGGAGCCCTGCTCACTACAGCAAATCTCAGAAGAATGAAAGAACAGCAGTGATGAGCATCACATTGTGAATCATCTCTCTTGGGTTTAACTCTAGCTCTGGGATCTAGAAGATAATCACACAACTTAATCACATTTCTTAACATTTTTAAATTACCGGTGTTTATCCTATTTATGCTAAGAGCTTTGTGGTAGACAGAAGAAGTGGATTCATCTTTGAACTTGACAGCAGTCTTCATTTAAATTTTATTTTTCTTTCTTTCTTCTTCTTTTTTAAATAGTAGAATAATGTTGTTTCCTATACAACTGATCAAGACCTATCTTGCCTCTGTGCCCACCATGCAAGCATCAGTTAATGAATAATTTGTTGTATAATGTTCCTTATTGCATTTTAAAATCTTTGTTTATAAAGCTAAGATCAGAGGGTGTAATATAAAATGCAAAAAATATAGCACACAACTATGTATTTCCATGTTTTATAGATGCTTTAGATGAAGACTGTCATGCAAAACATGCAGAACAGAGTCTGTCAAAGCAAAGAGACAGTTGTGAGATGAGACCGACAAATGGAGAAAGCACGCCTCTCCCCTCAGCAGAGAGGTTTCTAAGGATAGGGAGGAAGACGAAAAATAGATGAGGAAAACGGTAAACAAGAAACTGAGGTTGGAGCCAGCTGTAACAAACTCATACATTAACTTTTGATCAACCACTAAATGTTAAGAAGGGAAGAATAGTTACAAAATAAATAAAATATATGAATATGGAATATTAACAAACTATATTCCATTGCTTTTAAAAGTCAGGAAAAGAATAATTGAGCAAAAGAGGAAAAGGAGGAAAGTAGGTGTCTATTCTAGTTAGAACAAAACGCCGCCCTCTCCACGTTGCCCGTTGATCTCCCTGAGGAATGGTCTCATATCTTGGATTTAATGTTGGTTTCTGCTGCTGGCAATTGGGGCACTCAGCAGTGGCAGTGGCCAAGTCAGCCTTGGTGAGTGGAAGTCCATGTTGCTGTACCCATGCATAACCTCCATCCTGCCACCATGTCCACTTTGTTCATGTGCCCATTGGGTGATAACAGGAGTGGCAGAGGAAAAAAGGAAGACCAGTCTCCACCGTGCGTGTCATCTTATCTACTTGATTATTAAAGTCCTCCTCTTCAGAGGTAATCCTTTGGTGAGCGTTGATGTGAGATACAATTACCTTTACTTTCTTGGCCCATTCAGATCCACGCACCTCTTCCCCATACCTCCTTGTCACCAATTTTCCAATCATGTTCCTTCCATTTCCCTGAGCATCCAGCCAAGCCATTAGCCACAGCCCATGAATCAGTATACAGTCTCACATCTGGCCATTTTTCCTTGTAGGCAAACTGAACGGCCAGGTGCACTGCTTGAAGTTCTGCCTATTGGCAAGATTTCCCTTCACCACTGTCCTTTAGGGAGATTCCAGAAAGGGGCTGTAATGCTGCTGCTGTCCACTTACGGGTGGCACCTGCATATTGTGCAGAGCCATCTGTAAGCCAAGCATGACTTTTTCGTTCTTCAGTTAAAGTATGGTAAGGAACTCCCCAGGAGGCCATAGGTGCAGACTGGGAGAAAGAAGGTAATGTGACAGGAGTGGAGACTGTCGGCATTTGGGCCACTTCTTCATGCAGCTTACTTGTCCCTTTAGGTCCTGCTTTGGCCTGATCTCGTATATACCACTTCCA